TACCCACCAGCACCCAAGTACGGACCAACACTGACAGCCCCGTGCTCCTGGTCTACGGCATGGATCAATCTAAGATGAACTGTGACAGAGTCTTCAATGTCTTCTGCTTGTATGGCAATGTGGAGAAGGTGAGCTTCTGCTGGGTCCTCTGCTTTCCATATAGACCTGGCACATCCCTGGGAGGCCTAGAGCCAGTGCTCAGGCAGCACAACGGGGAGAGCCAGCAGGAGCCAGCTCATGGCAGGCTGGCTGTGCCCGTCCTCAACTCCTGCAGGCGGGCTTTCTTTGTCCCCTTTGTCCGGGTGTTTTGTTTTCTTGGAATTACCAGTGGTTTTTGAAAACAGCTCTATCATGTAAAGTGGTCTCACCAGTACAAAACTGTATAGAATTATAAAATACCAAAATTTGCCTGTTGTAGTTTTAAGACCCGTCCATAGTGTCAGAATTTCCTCCATAAACTGGCCCTGCCTTCCCACGGTTGGGGCTGGCAAGTAGTTGACCATCCACCTGAGACCGGGCAGGTTCTTTTATCCAGCTCCTCTGGGTCCCTGAAGCCTTGTAAGGTGTAGCCCCTGGCTTAGTCCATTAGCAGTGAATACCTCTGCAGTTTTTTGTGTTTACCCCCCTGGCTTAGTCCATTAGCAGTGAATACCTGTGCAGTTTTTTGTGTTTACAAGTTGTCACAGGTGCTTCACATGGAGTACAATTTTCATAGTACTCCGTAATGAGAAGTGGAAGTTAAATAACTGGCTCAGGTTCAGGTTATGTTTCTATGGAAAGCAGGATTCAGAGCCAGGTATGTGGCTTCTGAACCTATACTAACCTGTGTTGCAGAATGTCTGTACAGTTCCTGCCACATTAAGAGATACTTTACACTGTAACTATAGATCTAGTCGTCCACAGGTACTGCGTGTCTGTGTGTAACAGAGAAAGCGCTGATGAGAGTTCTTGCTCTGCGCAGTGTTCTTTGTTGTGCTTCATTAAATAAACGGCCTTGTGGGTCAGGCCACGCTGTAGTGAGAAAGCACTGCCGAGGCTCTGCTGCCACCTACGGTAGAGTGCTGCTTGTGTGCCTGACATGTTTTTCTGGTGGTCTTGGCTCCCTTTCCACAAGGGAGGAAATGGAAGCCCACAGTCAGAGCAGGAGTTGGTATTTCTGACTAACTTGGGACGGGAGGAGGGTCTGGCAGCTGGGCAGTAGTGCTGATGGCAGCTGCTCTCCCCAAGGTGAAATTCATGAAAAGCAAGCCGGGGGCCGCCATGGTGGAGATGGCTGATGGCTATGCTGTGGACCGGGCCATTACCCACCTCAACAACAACTTCATGTTCGGACAAAAGCTGAATGTCTGGTAGGTGCTTGGTCTCCTCAGCCTAGGGGGGCTTGGAGATGAACTGAGGAGGGAAGGTGCGATGGGCCCCACAAAGGAGCAGAACAGTGAGGCTGAAGTGCTTCCTCAGACAAGAGTGCAATGTGGCATTGTGTTCTCAGACCTCTCTCGGAAGACGACGTGGGAGAAAGTGGGTCAGCCACGCCTGCTGTGAGGCAATGTCCCCTGAGGCCCACAGCACCGTCAGGCAGTGGGGCCAGCCGAGTCTCTGAGGCAACAATGGCAGGCTTGGAGGACACATTTGGGTCTGACAGATGGCTCTCTTTTCTTCCTATAGTGTCTCCAAGCAACCAGCCATCATGCCCGGACAGTCATACGGGCTGGAAGACGGGTCCTGCAGTTATAAAGACTTCAGCGAGTCAAGGAACAATCGGTTTTCCACCCCAGAGCAGGCAGCCAAGAACCGCATCCAGCACCCTAGCAACGTGCTACATTTCTTCAACGCCCCTCTGGAAGTGACTGAGGAGAACTTCTTTGAGGTGAGTGCCATAGGCCTTCTCAGGTAGTTTGTTTTTTGCCACAGCCATCTGAGTAGGCCACTCATTTGAGTCTTGGAACAAGTATCTCTCAGGCTCCTGTTGCCAGGTCCTGGGGCCGGTGTGGAGGGCCCAGGAGAGATCGAGAGACGGATGCCCGCTCCCAGTCTAGACAGGGTGGAAGTGGCAACAGGAGAGCTCACCATGCCCCTCCCTGGATTTGTGGCAGCTGTTTTGCTGGGAAGGCCTCTCACAGGCCCAGTGATCAGAGTCTAGTCTCAACATCCACGTGGTCAGGGCCTCCGGGTGCCTTGATAACATCAGGAACTAGGGCGGGCCCCCTAAGTCTTGGTTTACAGAGGGAACAAGGGCAACTATGGGGAGGGAGGGACTCTGACTGAGTTGGACTTCAGACCTTGCTATGCCTAGAAGCTGCCCTTCATTCAGTTCAGCAAACATTTACCTAATATTGATGCACACCAGGATAGCTATAGAAGACGGAGATTTACCAACAGCTCCCCTGTCTTCGGCAGCATAATTAAGAGTGGTCCTTTGTGTCACAGGGATGCACTGGAGTGTGTGATAAAAGCTAGAAACCCCTTTTCCAGGAAAATCAGCATTCTGTATTATAAGCTTGGGTCTGTTTAATTCTCCCATAGGGTACCCCTTGCATTTCTGACCCCACCTTGCTCAATGTTTCTGTTGCAGATTTGCGATGAGCTGGGAGTGAAGCGACCATCTTCTGTGAAAGTATTCTCAGGCAAAAGTGAGTCGCTGGCCTCCCCAATTCCCTGATTATTGATATGTGGCTGCCTACCTGGTTCTTGCTTGGGTTTTCCTGAGGCCCATGCTTTCCCCTTGCTTTCTGATCAGGTGAACGCAGCTCCTCTGGGCTGCTGGAGTGGGAGTCCAAGAGTGATGCCCTGGAGACTTTGGGCTTCCTCAACCATTACCAGATGAAAAACCCAAGTGAGTATGTCTCCTGCAGTCATCCCCCAGGTGGCCTGAGGGGTTTGTTGGCTTCAGGCCAGAGCTGTCCTTCCTACCCTTGAGATAGGACCTGAGAGGCTCCCTTATTGTCACCGACACAGGCAGGACTGGTCGTCAGGAGAGCAACATGCTGCTCCTGTGGGAAGACCAGCCTGACTGCTTGCTGCCACCCACTCTGCCAGCTTGGGAGGTGCTCAGGCTTGCCCTCCAGGGAGCTAGAATTCTCTCTCTGCGTCAGAGACAGGCTCATGTGGTGCCCAGGAAAGGGGCTGCACTAGCAGCCAGGAGAATTTGCACACTCAGGCCTGTTGCTCAGGGCCAGTTAAGACTATATAGGAATGGGCTGTGGAAATGACCAAGAAGAGAATGGCTTTGTACATTTGACTATTTATTTTTTCCTTAAGTTTCACATCAGACTGACTAGTCAAACCCCTGCAACTGAACTGCAGAAAATGGGAGATGGGTACAAAGTGCGAGGAATTGGGTGGAGGGAGCCTCCAGAGAAGGGCCCAGCCAGACTTTTCTCTTCTCCTTTGCAGATGGCCCATACCCGTACACTCTGAAGTTGTGTTTCTCCACCGCTCAGCACGCCTCCTAATTAGGTGCCTAGGAAGAGTCCCATCTGAGCAGGAAAATGTTTCTCTTTCCTTTATGCCGTTCTCTTTTCTTTTGCAACAGTTCTTGTATTTCTTTTTTTTTTTTTTTAAATGCTAGGTTAGTAGAGGCTTAACCATAATGAAAATGCTGGAAGTATGGAGGGGGAGGGAGAGGGGGACTGATATCTCCCAAGATTAACCTTCATTTTTAAAAAATTATTGTACATGTGATTTTTTTTTCCTGTTCATACATTTGTGCTGCCCATGTACTCTTGGCACATTTCAATAAAATTGTTTGGAAAATAACCACTTGCTGGGATTCCAAGGCGTGTCTGCTTCCCTCCCTCCCACTGTCTTCTGAAAAGAGGCACAGGCAGGCCAGGGCACCACCCTAGGCCCTGGAGAAATGCAAGCCCAGCCCTGAGAGGCTCAGGAGTGAGCCAAACAGGGAACATTGCTGGGCCTTGAGAACTCTGGGTTGGGTTTGTTTTTTTATTTTTTTTT